ATAATGCAAAATCAAATTCATGGATAATATTCAAATACTCATCAGCCAAGCAGTGGAGACGAGCGTCGCAATCTCCATGCAGTTGTCGATCGAAAGGTTGAGTGAACAGTAAAGTGAAGTAACGAATGGTATTGGATTTCAATCTTTCTCCTCCTTTACTACCATCGCCAACCTCATTCTTTTTTTCCCTTTCCCTTATCGTGTGTGAGACTTTTCTTCCTCTTCCTCTTCCCATTCACTCTTTTATTGCATTTTTTAAGTTGTGGTTATATTATTTTACTTTTTTTTTTTTTGTAAAGTTTCTTTTACTTTTCTCTTTAGTTGCATTTGTGTGTCTACTATTGATCAGTTGGATGATCGATCAAAATAGACACATGCGGTCATAGTCTCCCCCCCCGGCTTATCTTCAAGTCGATATACTAAACGAAACTACTATTCTGGGCCCCCCTCTTCTCGAAATCCCACGGGCTCAAATTCCTTGACGTAGTCTTCCACACTTGGCGCCCTATCACAGCCTCTGGAAGATTCCCGCCCTCGATGCCTGTTCCAAAGCTTGAGCTACAACAAAGTAGTCGCCTGAGATCTATCTCAACGTCGAGCAACAACTCTCCCGTTCCCACCCCCGCGCTGACACCGACACACCAACACACCTTTTCACTCTCTAACAGCAAGAATCGGAATGCCCGTCACACCCGGACCACTTCTTGGACATCCGGTCACGACGGAGGCGAACCCTCTCCACTAGATTTCCCTGCACAGCAACGTCGTCGTCGTGAGTCTAATATCTCTCTCGCCGACCTTTCCGAGGGCTCATCGGACCGATACGGCGACGACTCCGACGATAGGATGGCTCTAAGAAACACCTCATTCGAGCAATCCGGCCATGCCCGGAACCGTTCACAGAGCCACACCCAGGCCTCCTTTATGCAACCACAGCAGTTCTCCGCTGGCCCGCCTCCGCGTCCAGGGCCCGTCACTTGGATGACCCTGCCGCGGAAGAAGCAACTCGCATTGTTAGGGTTGTGCCGTGTATTTGATTTTTTGCAGATTGCCTCGTTGCAGGCATACATGTTCTACCAGCTCAAATCCTTTGATGAGACCCTTTCCGACGCAGATGTGTCCACCCAGGCCGGTATCCTCCAAGGTGCCTTTACCGCGGCCCAGTTCGCTACGGCGATTCCCTGGGGTCGAGTGGCTGATGCCGAATGGGGTGGACGGAAGTTCGTCCTTTTAGTTGGCCTTTTGGGTACGGCGGTGTCGTGTCTGGGTGTCGCTTTTGCTACGTCGTTCGCGCAGGCCGTGTTCTGGCGTTCATTTGGCGGTGCCATTAATGGTACGGTGGGTATTATTCGGACCATGATTGCCGAAAATGTCAAAGAGAAGAAATACCATTCCCGCGCGTTCCTGATTCTACCGATTGGATTTAACATTGCTTCTTTGTTCGGACCTGGTGAGTTTGCCTGTGTTCGGTGTAGATGGAGTAGCAACTAATGGGTTCAGTTATGGGTGGTATGCTCGCCGATCCGGTGCGCAGCTATCCTACGTTGTTCGGTCCCAACTCGTCTTTTGGAGGGGCGAACGGCGTACAATGGCTCGAGCGCTATCCTTATGCATTGCCGATGTTGGCCAATACTGTTTTCCTCTCCTTTGCTGCATTCTGTGTTGGTATTGGCTTGGAAGAGGTAAGGTTCATCATTCCACGGGCCATGAGCCGTGCTAATCTCCGAATCAGACCTTGGACGCTTGCAAAGGCAAACCTGGCTTGGGTGTTTTCACCGCCAGGATCTTCGCCCGCGGTATCCGTGCTGTGGTTCCCTCGTCGTCCCCGTTATACCAGAGACTGCCTTTCGCCGATTACGACGAGGAAGGTCCTCTGTTGAGCACCCACCGCGATCCTACCGAGAGCTACGAACTGGAAGAGAAGGCTGCCAAGCCGTTGCGCCACAAACGCACGTTACCTTTCCGCAGACTTTGGACGAAGAACGTGCTGTGTACGCTTTTGGCGCAGGCCTTCTTCGATTTCCAGATGGGGTAGGTTTCATCACCTTACGTTTATTTGGTTACCTCTGCTGACCCATGCAGTGCATTCAACAACCTCTGGCTGCTCTTCCTGTCATCACCCCGTTATGATTCCAATGACCCCGCCGCCCCTGCTCAGAGGCTGCCATTCATCTTTACTGGCGGACTGGGCATGTTGCCTCAGAGCGTGGGGTTTGCTACGGCCATTCTGGGTATCATCGGCATGCTCCTCCAGTTCACCGTGTATCCCGCAATCAACAGCCGCCTGGGAACGGCCAAGAGTTACCAGTACTTCTTGACTTTGTTCCCCTTGGCTTATGCGTTTGCCCCGTATATCGCACTTGCCCCGTCCAGCGCACCACCCCCGGGTCAGGCCAACGGGCCGTGGATATGGTTTTCTATCATTGTTGTCCTTTTCCTGCAAGTCACAGCCCGTACCTTTACACTTCCGACCTCGATCATCTTGCTGAACAACTGCTCGCCACATCCCTCGGTGCTGGGCACCATCCACGGGATTGGCCAGTCGGTGTCCTCCGCCTTCCGTACCATTGGACCTATCTTTTCCGGGTCGTGGTACGGATACGGTCTGGAGATCGGTACGGTCGGGTTCGCCTGGTGGCTGATCGCCCTGGTGTCCGTTTTTGGATGCGTGGCGGCCATCTTTGTCTACGAGGGATCTGGCCATGAGATTATCCTCCCCGGAGAGGAGGACGACTTCCGGGACCGTCACTAATCGGATTGGTTCATTATTTCCTATTATTTGCATTCAGGTCTCCTTGGCTTTCTTCATGTTATATCTTTGTCTCGTTCTATATTGGTTTTGTTCTCTTTGCCTCAACTTACTGTACATATGGGGACACATGCATAGTTGGTGCCCGGTTGGTTCTCTCGTTTCCTTTACCACTGCGCCGGTCTGTTCATAGCGGTGCTTTCATTGCTCGGATACCTTTTTTATTTCTTATTCTGTGACATATGCTCGCTTGCTCTGATGCATGATGACAAAAAGAAAATTGCGGCAGTGGTTCGATAGATCGTGATACATAATACATAGAATCTCTCATGACAGTGCGTTCAGGATATCATTATCATAAGCATGTCGACCAGACAGGCAGATAAAAGGGAAAAAAAAAAAAAAAAAAAAAAAAAAAGAACACAAAGAGACTACCTCTTCAGTGCTGCAAAGCGTTTGGTCAACTCATCCAATTCCGGAATCCCTCCTTTGCTCGTCTTCGAGGGACTCCTGGGCTCCACCTCGGCCTCCCCCTTCCCATTCCCATCCGGAACCTTCACGCGTGGATTCGGGTTATCAGACCGGGGTCCCGGTGGCGCAACACTGACCGGACTCTTTCCAGGCTGCAACCCCTTCGGCGGCGTAGCACGATTCAACTCCGCCGTCTCCGACATCCTCCGTTCGACATCAGCCGGCCGACCCTCCTTCCGCGGCGTCACCGGTACATCACCCCCAGCAGTAGCATCAACACCACCATCATCATCATCATCCACGAACTCCGTCGGGGCCTCTCCCAACTCCTCCGCATCCCCTCCCCACGCAACCCCATACGCCCTCGCAATCTCCCTCAAATAACTCTCCACCAACTCCTGTGACGGCGGTCGCACCCGCAACCCCTTCACCAACCTCTCAGGAACCCTCAACCCATCCGCCTCCGGAAACCGATCATCCTGCGCAAGCGTCATAAACTCCTTCCCATACCGATCCGCCAACAGTTGCCTCAGAATGGTCAACTCCCTCACATCAGCCGGAAACCGGGGAAACGCATAGAAAATCGCCGCCGCAGCCTCATCCAGCGCCGAATCAATATACGCCCCATCGTCCGCACTCTGCACCCCGGCAGTTGACGACGATGTATCCTCCTTCTTCGAAGCCCCACCACTACCACCGAAAAGCGCCCCGAACCCGAACCCTGATCTCTTCCCACCCCCAGCAGCATCGCCCTTATCAGTGTTAGACCCAGAAGAGCCAGATCCAGATCCTAGACCCTGCTCCTTCCGTCTCATCTCCATCCACGCCTCCTTCGCCCGATTTCGAGCCTCAACACCCTTCTCGCTGAAAGCATTCTGATCTAGTACGTTCGCCCGCGCAAGGATCAGCTCGCAGTACAATTCCACCATCTCCATGACTTCGACGGCGATGTCGGTGGCGATGACATTTTCAACGCGGATGCGGGCGCTCGCGTCTTTATTTTCGGATAGGAGCTGGGAGAGTTCGCGGCGTTGGATAACGGAGCTGGCGGTGGATTTCTTTTGGAGGAGACGAAGTCGGGGGATAAGGAGGTGAAGGGTTGAGGTTAGTTTTGTCTGTTTTAGGTTATGGGATTGATTATTTTCTGATTTTGGTCGGTGTCATTTGGGGCGGGG